ACACACACACACACACACACACACACACACACACACACACACACACAAATATATAAATAAATATTTAAAAATTTACTTACAAAATCTTGATGAAAAATGAAAAATGGACACAAAAAAGGATATTAAGCTATTCTACTGCCAAATGTCTAAAATATTTACACTTCAAAATTTTCTTTAGAGTCAGGCAACATAACTAGGCAAACATTCTACCATGTCTATAAACTAGCACTTAATCCCACACTCAGGAGGCAGAGGCAGGTGATCTATGAGTTCAAGGGAAAACTGATCTACACAGTGAATTCTAGGACAGCCAAGGCTACACAGAGAAACCCTGTCTTGAAAAAACAAACAAACGAAAACAGAAAAGAATAGAAAATGAAGCAGAAGAACTACAGCAAATTGGAGCCCAGCCTGGGCTGCCCTGTGAGAACCGGGCCAGCCAAGATTACGCAGCAATAGCCTATTTCAAAAAATGAAAATTAAAAAAAGGTGTGTGTGTGAGGGGGCGATATGGGGCTACAAGGATGTAAAGTCAATAAAAAATAAACAAATTTTTAAAAATTCAAGCTGGGGCTGGAGAGCTGGCTCAAAGGTTAAGAACAATGGCTGCTCTTCCAGAGGTCCTGAGTTCAATTCCCACCACCCATGTGGTTGTAATGAGATCTTGCGCCCTCTGCTGGCATGTGTAGGTGTACGTGCAGGCAAATCATTGTACACAGAATAACTAAATAAATCTTTAAAAAGAAAAGCTACTGAAAACATTGAAGGTAAAAAGCGATCTGCATTAAAAGCGATACGGCGCACAGCAGGCGCACAGCAGGCGCACAGCAGGCGCACAGCAGGCACGGCTCTCAGGGCTGCACACCACGCACCTCTTTCCTTGTCTGCTTTGTTCAAGTAAGTCCACCTTCAATTTTATACATTCCTCCTTGGCCTTCTGCAGACTGTGTTCCTTTTCAATCACCATTTTCTGACTCTGCTCTAATTTATCTTCCGCTTCTCTATAAACAGAGGATAAACTTTAAGAACTGTTAATATGATTGCTGGAGAAATAGAAAAATAATGCGACATAATTACTTTAAGAATAATTAAATCAGTGAGTTCAAAAGACAAATATATAATGACAGAGAAAGGCATATTCCTAAGTTACCAATAAAATACTATTTGTGTGGCATAAAGAATACTTTATGTAAAGAACCCCATGTAAAGTAAAAGTTCATATCATATTTCAAATTCACTGACTGCGAATGGTGGCACCCAGTTATATTCACAGCATTCAAGAGGAAAAAGCAGTAAGATCAGAAATTCAAAGTCATCCTCAGCTACAGTTTTTACAAAAATAAACATATTCCATACAAACTAGAAGCACCTCTATATACTTCAGAAACAAAGCAAATATAATTGCTACCACTTCTACAGCCAAAGATATTTTTGATTGTTCAATCCAATGAAAAACACAAAAACAGAAAAGTAGCAAGAAATACAAATTTTGAGCAAGAAATTTTTGTTATTTGTTGATGATTATCATTTAGTTACCTAGAATATTGAGGACAATCAAAATAAAAAAAAAGATTAGACTAACGGGCTAGAGAGACGGCTTAGTAGTTAAGAATACTTGTTGATTTTCTAAGGGACCAAGGTTTGATTGCCAGCATCCATATGGCAATCCATGTCCAGGGAATCTGACAGCCTCTTCTGGTCTCCATGAGCAGCAGGTATGCACACTGTACACAAATGTACATGCAGACAAAATACCCAGACAGGACTGCTAAGAGGAAAAGGTGCTTGCCACCAGTACTGATGACTTCAGCTCAGTCCCTGGAGCCCATGTGGAGTGAGCGCAGTAACTCCGGCAGGTTGTCCTAACCGTCACACGTGTGCCATGGCATGCCCACACCACTGCCCAACCCCAATAAAGAAACCAATGTAAGAAAAACATTTTTAAAAAGAAATATCCGAATACAAGTAATTATTACATGTGATATAAATATGAAGCCAGATACAATGCTGCAGTCCAAATACTAGGACATGAGGATGACGAAGCGCCAACCTGGACAACTTAGCAAGACCTTATCTCTTAAACCCACAGCAGCTAAGTTAACCCGTAAGGGCACACAGGAAAAACCTTTCAAGAAAGAGAAGATAAAGTGTTATAAAAGGAAAAGGTGAAGAAAAATGCAACTGGAAAAGGAGACAGGAAGGACTAAAAGACATGGGAGATGGCAGGGCAGAAAGAACACAGAGAGGGACAGCTAACACTAGAGGCCTTTGAAAATCCATATGGAAACCCACTATTATAAAAGCTTCCTAAAATACAGAGAAAAGTTGGGGGCAGTTCCTCAAATAGATACCACACACTGAAAAAACAAAAGGTACCATCTTCCCATACCACTCCAGAGTAACTCTTTTTGAGTTACTGGCCAATGGGTCCATGAAACATCAAACTTGCAGGGTATGGCCATTGCTCTTAATTACCATGACTCCAGAATTTGTTTGTCTGTTTTTCCCCTTGTTTGTTTCTCTGTGTGTACTCTGGCTATTTTCAAACTCGCTTTGTAGACCAGGCTAGTCTTGAACTCACAGAGATCCACCTGCCTCCGTCTCCCAAGTGATTAAAAGGTATGCATCACCATGCCCTGCTTACCCTCCAGAACATGATGGTAAGTCTCTACTGCTGAGGATACCACATGCTTGAGTACAGAACATGAAGAGATCTAGCAAGTACTCAACTCATGACTAGATTTCCTAGTGCTCAAAGGTTCTGTGCATGTGACAGGAGAAGAAAGCTCATCATCATCTCATCCAGAGGAGCCCTTCCAGCTACAGTAATGACCTGCCTCACTAGATATACCCACGATACAATAATGGCACAAATTTTAAGGGAGTAACCAACCATTTTCTCCTTGGATTTAAGGACTGCTCCATGAGCAGAACCAATACCTGGCAGTGTCAACAAGGGTTAGAGCCTGTGGCCAAACTGGCCGTACACCTTAGGTGAGGATCTCTTGCTATTATCTGCCAAATGGACACAGGATGAAAACAACTCCTACTGAGTTGTTATACTATCAGTTCATCACTCAACCCTTATAGGAGATGCTTCATCTTACACTTGATGGCAATTAACACAGAGACCCAAAACTTGTGAATATGCAGAGAATAAGAGGGTGTGGCATGTTCAGCCTTAAATGGGACATCTAGGCTCAGAGATCTGCATGGAAGAGAGAACCTAAATATTTTAAGAGCTAGAGAGTAGTAGAGAAATCACTGTTTTCCAGAAATTCCAGAATGTAGAAAGAAAGATAGGTACAAAGTCCTACCCCTAATTGAGGAGCTATTGGCATTTGATAGTTTCTGAAAGAATGAGAGTCACTTTTCTTTAATGGTGTAAACCCTGGTTTAACTCCAAACTGCACTCCAGGACAGGCCCCATGCCTAAGAGTAGTTGGCCAACACAAAAATAATTCAAAGTGGGGGTTGGGGGAGACTGAGCAAGCAAGTGAGCAAGCTCCTGCACAAACATCTGAGAAGAGTGGGAAGAAAGGAATGAATATGATCAAATACATTGTATGAAACTCTCAAAGAATAAAAAAAAACTGATCAAAAAAATTCAAAAACCCTGGAATGCATTTAAGCTAATATATGTATCACAAAGAAAGTTCTAAAACTGATAAATTTAAAAGACATTTTAACATACATCAGACTCACCTATGGTACTTACTAAAATTTAGCTGCATGTGGTGGCACATGCCTTTAATCCCAGAACTATACAGGTAGAGATAGGTAAATCTCTGAATTCAAGGCCAGCCTGATTTACAGAGTGAGCTCAAGGACAGCCAGAGCTACACAAAGAAACCTTGTATCAAAACCAAATATAAACATATATGTGTGTATCTGAGCTTCATCTTCCAAAGTTTGTGATATATGTATGTATGTGCATATATATATATATATATATGATAGGACTCAAACTTCCCAGATAATGCTAGTACTGCTAGTCCCAGAACAGTGATGAAAATCACTCAAATATAACATGATGCCTAGTATACACTATATTCAAAATAGAATAAATGATAAAATACCCTATTTCTTGTACTTAAACTCCATTGAAGCAATGAGTATGTATTGCAATATAGGGCAAGAAATGAACTAATTCATATTAAACCCAAGTATGCAAATAAGCACCTCAGCTGAAAATAATCCATCTTTAGTCCTTGTACGCTGCATTCAAGTTACAGCTATGAGAAGCTATAATTGACTAAATGAATCTGATGATGTGTTAAAACATTATTAGGTCACCAAAGAATAGTGGGGAGAAGAGACAAAAATTAGTAAGATACAACAAACAGAAGTACAAAGTAAAAAAAAAAAAATTTCAAGCTAAACAGTGTATTTACCTCAAAACTTTATCTTGAGCTGAAACTTCCGCTTCCAAATTTAGAATCTGTTCTTCTAAGATTGGGATGTTGGCTACCTGCTCTTGGGCAGACTCAAGCAAAGACATCTAAAACAAAAACAGATAAAAAAAATACTTTTATGGTTTCAGGAAATAAATCTATCTTAGTCTTTCCTTGTCAGATGAGAAGGCTCAATAGGACACCTCAGGCACTGGCTAAATGGAAAACCTATCTTATCTATTCCTTTGATCAGCTTTAATATATATACACCATCATCATAACACAGGCTCAGAATATGACCTGCCATTATGTGTAGTTTCCCTCAAGTATACTGAGATACTTGAGGGAAACTACACATAATGATTTACTACACATAATGATTTTTTTATTTTTCTTTATCTTTATTTATTTATTTATTTATTGGTTTTTCAAAACAGGGTTTCTCTGTGTAACAGCCCTGACTGTCTTGGATGTGCTTTGTAGACCAGGCTGGCCTTGAACTCATAGAAATCTGCCTGCCTCTGCCTCCCAAATGCTGGGATTAAAGATGTGAGGCAGCACTGTCTGGCATAAAATAATTCTTAACATTATTTAGGAAGATTAATTTCACATGGTAGAATACATACACACATATTAGACTATATATATATATATATATATATATATATATATATATAACCAAAATAAAGAATTATGTAAGAAATATATATTGAATTTTTGACTGAAAACTAATTTTAGAAAGCATGTTTAATAAAAAAAAAAAACCTAAATAATTCAGAAATACATAGTAACCCTATAACCAGAAAGATATAGTAAAACTACTGAAGTAGGGAAGGAATACACAATGCAAATGGTGGAGAATTATTATTTAATTAATCAATAATCAGAATATTGATGAGAACTGCTTATACTTGAAAAGCAGGTTGAGAACATGAAGTTGGAAGCAGGAAAGGCATCCTGGAGAGAAAAGAAAAGATTGTCCAGAGTCTCTACAATAAGTCCTCACCCTCCCTTTTCCAATGCCTAGAACACCAGCAGCCAGGTAAAAGAGTTTATTATATGAAGATACTGAGAGTCCTCAGAGATGAGGCGGAGATATAAATAAAGGGATCAACACAAAGCCATAGCCCCCAAGTTTCTACTCACATCTCATTTGAAGCTATCCCACAGGCAAAAATTCAGTCTTCTTGTTGAGTGTGTGTGTGTGTGGGGGGGTTCTTTGTTTAATTTTTGTTTTTGTTTCGTTTTGTTTGAGACACAGTCTCTCTCTACATAGCCTTGGCTGTCTAGAACTCACAATGGAAACCAGGATAGCCTCAAACTCACAGAAATACTCCTGACTGTGACTCCCATGTGATGGGATTAAAGGCAAACACCACCACACCTTGTTCTAAATATTCTTTAATGAAGAAATTAGCTCCAGAGCTGGGCACAGTGGCACATGCCTTTAAGCTCAGCACTCAGGGAGGCAGAGGCAGAGGCAGGCAGATCTCTGTGAGTTCAAGGCCAGCCTGTTCTACAAAGCGAGGCAGGGCAGCCAAGGCTACCCTGAGAAACACTGTCTTGAAAACAAAAACAAAAAAAGAACTTAGCTCCAAATAAAGACCATTATACATGAGCTCTCCTCTGGGGGACTTGGTGAATACTTGCCTCAAAAATGGCCACTTCTATAAATCATCACTCACAAATGAAGCCTACTAAACAGACTTCACTAACACATAGGCAACTTCTAAATTACTTTTAAATATCTTTCTCTTAAATATGAATAACCAAAGCACTATGACCTTTCTAAAAGCTAACAACAAGCACAAGCAAATACAAAAAAAAAAAAAAAAAAAAAATCTTTTTAAAAAATTTATTTTCTTTTCTTTTATGTGCATTGGTGTGAAAGGCCCTTCATACGTAATCAGCATAATAAAGGCCTATGCAAAGGCCTGTCAACATCATGCGTGTGGTTTATTCTGAGCCAAGGCTTCTCTGAATAGTCCTGGCTGTCCTGGAAGCCTGTAGACCAGGCGGGCCTCAAACTCAGAAATTTGACTGCCTCTGACTCCCAAGCACTGTCAACTATCACCCAGCAAACATAAAAATTTTAAACTCCAAGGAAAAAGAATTAGTCTTAAAACTTGGAATATGAAAAACACAAATGGACAAAAGATTACGTGCTAAGCAGAGTGATTCACAATACACCAGACTATAATGGGTTAGCCTGAGGCTTTTCACTTTCCTTGCTGTACCTGATTCAAAGCAGAACTGGAGAACACACAATGGGAAAGCAATGCTCTGAAATATTTAATGTATGATTTTATCCTAGAACTTAATCATGAGTTAGTAGGACTCCATATTTTCAGATAGGCCCATAAGAAACTAGAAGAGAAGCTACGTGAAGAGGAAAAAAAAAGGGGGATTTAGGAGATAGCAATTTCAATTAGAAAAACACCAGAGATGTTAGAATAGAATAGCTAGCAGGCCTGAAAGACACACACTCAGGAAGTAGCAGAGCTGAGAATGGTGGCATATTCCTGTTATCCCACTACTTGAGAAGGCAGGAGGATCAGGAGTTCAAGGTCAACCTTCCTGTATTATGAGTTTAAGGTCAGTACAGGCTGCATAAAATCTCAAAATCAGAGACAAAAACAGAAACAAAAAACAAGGGCTAAGAACTTAGCTCAGTTTGTAGAGTTCTTGCATAGTATGTAGTAGACTTTTTTGTTTGTTTTTTAAGACAGGGTTTCTCTGTGTAGCTTTGGCTGTCCTGGACTCACTCTGTAGACCAGGCTGGCCTCAAACTCAAGAGATTCGCCCACCTCTGCCTCCCAGTGTGCTGGGATTACAGGAATGCACCACCTGCCAGGCACAGGAAATGGAGTTTATCTTGAGCATCTCACTAACTGGATATAGTAATACCTGACTATAATCCTAGCCCTTGGGGAGTGTTTATCAGTTTTCCCCAAGGGAAAAGGTGAAGGGAGAAGGTTTAGAAGTTCAAGGCCATTTTTTAACAATAATGAGTAAAGGACAGTCTGGGATATATAAGACCCTGCCTCACTGGGTAGTGGTGGTGCACGGCTTTAATCCCAGCACTTGGGGGCACAGGCTGGTGGATCTCTACGTTCAAACACACCCTGGTATACAAAGTGAGTTACAAGACAGCCAGGGATACACAGAGAAACCCTCTCTCAAAAAACAAAAGGACCCTGCCTCAAAACAAAAATTACATTAAAAAAGAGAGAAAGAGCACACAGAGAAAGAAAAACTTAGACTTTTGTGTAAGTATAGGTTTATAATGATTTTTTGTTTTGATATAATGCTGTTTAGGATTTTTGAAACTGGCCATGCAGTTCTGAAACTTCTTAAGTAGACCAGACTATCCACAAACTCAAGGTCCTCATGTCTCAGTGCTGGGACCACAAATGTGATCCATCACATCCAGATATACAGTACTTTCCTACCACCAAAAATATTAGCTCATGGATCTCATTCTGACCTTCAAGCTGACACTTAACTGAGAATGATCCTGAATATGACTTCCTTTCCTTCAACTCCCACATACTGAATACATAATATATCATTTAACCACAGTTATTAATGTAAATCAAGCAACTCTGTATTCTAGTACTGATAAGTTTACCTTTTTCATTAAAATTGAAAAGAAAGTGAAAGAATCACTATTTGAAGATGATATGATGGTACACATAAGTGACCCCAAAAATTCTACCAGGGAACCCCGAAAACTGATAAACACTTTCAGCAGAGTGGCTGGATACAAAATTAACTAAAAAAAACAAAAACAAAAACAAAAGCCAGTAGCGCTCTTTTATACAAGTGATTAAACGATCTGAGAAATTAGGAAAACACCTTTAGATATAGACACAAAAAATATAAAGTATCTTGGTGTGACTCTAACCAAACAAGCAAAAGACTTGTATGAAAGACACTTCAAGTCTCTGAAGGAAGAAACTGAAGAAATATCAGAAGATAGATCTCTCATGCTCATGGATCGGTAGGATTAACATAGTGAAAATGGCCGTCTTACCAAAAGCAATCTACAGACTCAATGCAATTCCCATCAAATTACCAACACAATTCTTTACAGACCTTGAAAGAAAAATTCTCAACTTCATATGAAACAAAACAAAACAGGATAGCTAAAACAATCCTGTACAATAAAAGATCTTCTGGAGGTATCTACATCCCTGATCTCAAGCTGTACTATAGAGCAGCAGTAATAAAAACTGCATGTTCCTGGCATAGAACAGACTGATGGATCAATGAAATCAAACTGAAGACCCAGAAATAAACCCACACACCTGCGGACACTTGATTTTTGACAAAGAAGCCAAAAATATACAATGTGGAGGAGGGGGGAGCATCATCAACAAATGGAGCTGGTCTAACTAGATGTTTTCATGTAGAAAAATGCAAATAGATCCACACTTATCACCCTGCACAACATTAAAATCTAAGTGGATCAAAGACCTCAACATAAAACATCCTAACTCTATTAGAAGAAAAAGAGGGGAAGTTACTTGAACTCATTGGCACAGGAGACAACTTCCTGAACAGAACACCAGCAGCTCAGGCTCTAAGTTCAACAATCAATAAATGGGACTCATGAAACTGAAAAGCTTTAGTAAAGCAAAGGACATAGTCATCAGAACAAAACAACAGCCTACAGATTGGGAAAAAAAATCTTCACCAACCCTACATCTGACAGAGGGCTAACATTGAAAACATATTTTTAAAAACCAAGAAGTTAAACACCATCAAACCAACTAATCCAACTAAAAAATGGGGTACAGGGCTAAACAGAGAATTCTCAACAGAGGAATACCGAATGGCAGAGAAACACTTAAAGAAATGTTCAACATCCTTAGCATCAGGGAAATGCAAATCAAAATGTCTCTGAGATTCCATCTTACACCCATCAGAATGGCAAAGATCAAAAACTCAAGTGACAGTACATGCTGGCAAGGTCGTGGAAAAAGGGGAACACTCCTCCATTGCTAGTGGGAGCACAAATTTGTACAACCACTTTGGAAAGTAATCTGGCACTTTCTCAGAAAACTGGCAACAGCTCTGCCTCAAGACCCAGCTATACCACTCCTGGGCATAATACCCACAAGACACTCCACCATACAAGAAGACTTGCTCAACTATGTTTATAGCAGTTTTATTTATAAGAGCAAGAAACTAGAAACAGCTTAGATGTCCCTCAACCAAAAACTGGATAAAAAAACCTATGTTAGTGAGATATCCAGGAAGCAGAAAGACACGTTATATACTCACTTATAAGTGGATATTAGACATATAATAAAATATTTTAATATATAATATAATCATGGTAAAATCTGTACACTTAAAGAAGCTAAGCAAGGAGGACCCTGTAAGATGCTCAATCTTCATTCAGAAAGGCAAATAGGATAGATTTCGGAAGAACATGAAAACAAGGAGCCTACCACAGTGGGCCTCTGAAAGACTCTACCCAGCAGGATATTAAAGCAGGTGCTGAGACTCATAGCTAAACTTTGGACAGAGTGCAGGGAATCTTATGAAAGAAGGGGGAGATGGAAAGACCTGGAGGGGTCTGGAGCTCCACAAGCAGAACAACAGAAGCGGGGCCCAGGGGTCTTTTCTGAGACTGATAGTCCAACAAATGGACCATTCATGGAGATAACCTAGAACCCATGCACAGATGTAGCTCATGGCAGCTCAGTCTCCAGATGGGCTCTCTAGCAAAGGACTGTCTCTGACATAAACTCAGTGGCTGGCTCTTTGATCACCTCCTCCCTGGTGTGTGGTGGGGCAGCCTCACGAGGTCACAGAGGAAGACTATGAAAGACAGTCTAGATGAGACCTGATAGGCTAGGGTAAGATGGAAGGGGAGGAGGTTCTCCCCTATCAGTGAACTGGGGAAGGGGCATGGGAGGAGATGAGGGAGGGAGGGAGGGAAGGAAGGAGGGAGGGAAGGAGGAATTTGGAGCTACAGCTGGGATACAAAGTGAATATGAAGATCGCTTGAAGATGGGAGCTACAGCTGGGATACAAAGTGAATAAATTTTAACAAATAAAAAATTTATATAAAAAATTTGTGTTACATCTATACAATAGAATACTATTCAGCTATTAAAAACAAGGACACCATGAAACTTACAGGGCAAATGAATGGATCTGGAAAAGATCATCCTGTTCAAGGTACCATGGTAGAAACTCATGGTAAGATAGGAGTCTACCATAGATGTCCTCTGAAAGACTCCACCCAGCAGGGGATCAAAGCAGATGCTGAGACTCACAGCCAAACTTCCAGCAGAGCACAGGGAGTCTTATGAAAGATTTGGGGGGGTATAGAAGGACCCAGATGGGACAGGATCTGGGCGCAGCAGAGGAATGCAGACTGATGCACCAACCAAGGACCATGCATAGAGAAAACCTAGGCCCACTGCTCAGATGTAGCCAATAGTTAGCTCAGTCTCCATGTGGGTCCTCCAGCAAGGGGCCCAGGGGCTGTCTCTGACATGGACTTTGTTGCAGGCAACAAGTCAATCACTTCCCCTGGGTGAGGTAGCCTTGCCAGGCCACAGTGGAAAAGGATGCCGGCAGAACTGAAGAGACTTGATAGCCTGTGGCTAGTTGGTAAGGAAGGAGGGTTACCCCTTTCTGAGGACTAAGGGAAGGAGATAGTGAAAAAGGGAGGAAGAGTGGGACTGGGATGAGACAAGGGAGGGGATACAGCTGATGTAAAGTGGACAAACAGAAGAGAATATTTGTGTGTGAGTATTGCACCTGCCTATGTCTGTGCATGTGTACAATGCCCATGGAAGCCAGAAGAGGGCATCAGAGTTAAAAACTGTCAGGAGATAACATGCAGATGCTGGGAACTGAACATGGGTGCTCTAGAATAACAACAAAGGGTCTTTTTGTTTTTTTAGAGACAGGGTTTCTCTGCGTATCCTTGGCTGTCCTGGACTCGCTTTGTAGGCCGGAGATCTCCCTGCTTCTGCCTCCCCGAGTGCTGGGATTACAGACTTTACCCATGGAGCCTGGCTTTTTAATGTATACAATGTTCTGCCTACATGCCAGAAGAAGGCACCAGATCGCATTATAGATGGTCCTGAACCACCATGTTGTTGCCAGGATTTGAACCCAGGTCTCTGGAAGAGCAGCCAGTACTCTTAGCCACTGAGCCATCTCTCCAGCCCCGCAACAAACTTAAGTGGTTAAGAACGTAACCACTGAGCAGCCACACTATTTTCTTAAGGAGAGAAAGGATGAAAGGAAGGAAGGAAGAAAAGAAAAGAGGAAGGAAGAAAGGCAGGCATTGTTGCAAACTATTTTTTGGGCATACCGGTTTACATTAGCATCTCTCAGTGACTGGACATCTGGAGTTTTTTTCATTTGGTAGCGTTTTGTTAAAAAGGGAGGTGCCACCACACCAGCTAGTTAGTCCTATCTTATGATACCAATAACACAGTTTAAACAAAAATGCAGAGCCAGATATGGTGGCGAATACCTTTAATCCAGGACAGCCAGTACTACACAGAAAAACCCTACCGCAAAAAAAAAAAAAAAAAAAAAAAGATAGGATTAAGTTACAGTATCACATAATATTGCTAACAATAAATAAATAGTGGGAAAGCCATGTAAAATAATAAAAAAAATACCTATGAATATATATGAAGTAAAAAACGTCTAGAGAAATGGCTCAGCAGTTAAGAGCTCTACCTGCTCTTCCAAAGGACCCAAGTTCAATTCCCAGCACCCACACGGTGGCTCATGACCACCACTCTAGTCCCAGAAATGCAGGACCTTTTTCTGGCCTCCACATGCACTGCCTGCACATGGAATACAGTCATACATGCACACAAATACAAACACACAAAATAACAATTTTTTATTAAAAAGAGTAACAAACTATTCAAAATAGTATGGATACTATTTAAGACAGACAATAAGGGGGTTTCTAAGTAATAGAAAATTCAGGATGATTTTTCTTTTTTTAAGATATATTTTTATTTTACGTGTGGGTGTTTTGCCTGTTTGTACATCTGTCCACCACGTGCATGCCTGGTAAGCACCAGATCCTCAGAACTATAGATACAGATAGTTGTGAACCACCATGTGGGTGGAAATGGAAAATGAATAAGTGCTCTTTAATCAGTAAATCATCTCTCCAATCTCATGTTTTTTCTATTTTTTAAGTTAAAACAATAAGATTTTAAGAAGCTGATTTATCTTAATGCAAAAATTATTAAAAGTTCTCTTAAAATATCTTCAGATATGATAGTGATTTTAGTCCCTGTCAATATTCAACTAGCATATAGAAATTTTTACCTATTAGATAGACAACATACGTATGTTCTGGTTATTAATCATCAAATAGAACAAATAATTGAAGACGGTGCAATGGCACATGCCTATAATCCCAGCACTCAGGGAGGCAAATCTCTGTGGATCTCTGTGAATTTGAGGCCACCCTGTCTACAAAGCAAGTCCAGGACAGCCAAGGAACACAGAGAAACCCTGTCCGAAAAAAAAAATCAATATACATCCATACACACACACACACACACACACACACACACACACACACACACAAATATATACATTACAAATACTCTCTTAGCAAATCAAGAGACATACTTTTGCTTTATATTGTGTCAATTCAAAGTGGATAGATTCTATCTTAGTCATTAAAGAATGGTTCTGTGTGACCAAATAAGCATTCTGTTGCCTAAGTTGATTAAGCTTCTCTCGAAGGCTTTTAATCTCTTCATCCACAGAAGCAGATGAAAAAGACACCTGAAAATAAAGAAAAGAACAATGTACACTAAATTATCTGATATTCACATATAATAGAAAACGGCAATAATCGCTATTATAGTCGTTGAAAAACTCCGGACAATAACCATCATGACTGATAAAGCATGTGTGAAAGACATTCTCTCCTCATAGTGCAAATTAAGCACAGACTGGAAAAAGAGAGGTGCACTTTATTAAACGTGGATGCTATCTGATAAATCAGTTCACAATATCACTCCTGCAAATACACTATAGAAATCTTTGTATTTCTACACTTAAAGACAGTCACAACGACACTGATGTAGAGGAGTATAAAAGGAATGCATATGCCAAGAACCAATGAGACGGTATCTTTAACTTACACATGCACTTTTATGGAGCTATTAATTTTAAACATAATATATGAAATAATGATATTTTAAGTTTGTGAAATATTTTTAATTTTTTATACAAAATTATGTACAAATTATAAAGTCAAGCTATCCTGGGCCAGGCATGGTGGCACACACCTTGAATCCCAGCACTAGGGAGGCAGGTGGATCTCTGTAAGTTCCAGGTCAGCTTGGTTTACAAAGAAAGTTACAGAACAGCCAAGGCTGCTATACAGCAAAGCCCTGATTCAAAAAGAAGAGGAAATAAAACAACAAAGCAAAAAAACCTGCCATCTTTACTAGCTGTTTTATTAATTAACTGTTACCTTTTTTATTTTTATTTTTTGAGACAGGTTTTCTAACTCAGGCCTATCTCAAGCTCCCTGTATGGGCATGGTTGACTGAACTTCCGACCCTCCTAAATCTTCCTCTTCAATGCTAGACAAAGTCACCAGGCTGTTTATGAGGTGCTCAAAATCAAACAAAGGCCATGTTTACTCAGCAAGCACTCTACCAACTGAATTACAACCTCAGTCTTTTTGTTGTTTGCTTGTCTGATACAAGGTTTCAGTCCAGGCTGTCCTGGAACTCAGCAATTCTCTTACCTCAGTGTTCCCAGTGCTAGGATTATAGGCATAAACCACCACCATGCTGGCTTTTTCTTTTAACATTTAGTTTTCTAGTGATTCCAGGTGCATAAAAATAATTACTCACATGCCTTTCCTCTTTATAAAAAAAAAAAAAAAAACTAACGTATTTTATATTTTTATTTAAATAATATATACTGCCAATGTCTACATAATACATTAAAAACTTTCTTTTCTTTCATTTTTGTTGTTGTGGTGGTTGTTGTTTTTGGCTTTTCAAGACAAGGTTTCTATGTTTAACAGAGCCCTGGAGTCCTGGACTTGTTCTGTAGACCAGGCTGTCCTTGAACTCACACAGATCACTTGCTTCTGCCTCTCAAGTACTGGCAGGCACCACCACAGCTGGCTACATTGAAAAGCTCTTAACTGTATTTTAAAAACTTAGTTTTCCTCTTAACTGTGGAGTTTTCATTGCATAAAAAGTTAGGATTAAAAAGAACAATTATGGGGCCAATTTAATCCTAAACAATTAGGATTAAAAAGAGCACTGGTTGCTTTTCTCAAGGACTTGGGTTCAATTCCTGGCATACACACAGAAGTTCACAACTAAAGTTACTATCTATTTCTCTGGTTTCAGAGGATCCAAAACTCTCTTCTGACCTCCACAACTAACTGCAGGCAAAACACTCATCCACATACAATATTTAAAAAGAACAATTATATTCCAATCTCAAAGACAGTAAAGGACTATTAATAACATAAAACCAAGAATAAGACATGTAATGCAAACAATTTTAAATAATCAGGTCTAAAGATAATAACCTTATCTCTTGGTTTCTTTTGAAAATCAATACTACCCGATGTCTTGCAAACTTTTTTATAAGGTGGGTAATTCAAATGTCCCAGGCGGCTAGGTTGAGCAAGTTCTTCCAAAATAATCCTTTCACATCTTGAAGGATTGCAGACATAATCAGAATTTTCACTTGGACTAACACTACAGAACAAAGAAAAACTACATTTCAGTTCTGAAAGTTTTTACTACAAATTTCTACTATAATGACCAAAAATTAGACCCATAGTTATGAACAGAAAACTGTCTTTCCAATACTTTCAATAAATCCCAATTAGTTTGCATTAGCAATTATGTATTTCCTGAACCTCTTTACTTCAGGAGTAAAAAAAGCAGCTACAACAATGAAAGAGTAATAAAATTCTGAATATATATTTTACATTGATTCTTGATATATTAATGATGTTTTCTTCATTTGTTTGTTAATATTTCCATTTTCACAAACTGACTTGTATTAAAAAGTACAGAAAATCACATCTTAGTCCAGAAGCATATTAAACATGTATATAATGAAATCTAGTCATTTTACATTTATAAATAAATACTTTAATTTATACATGTGATTTTATTTCCTTGCCTGGATAACTCTTCCCCTAAATTCTGCAAACTCCATTCTGTTACTTTCAGTTCATGTCTTAATGAAGCAACATTTGCAAGTAAGCTTTCTTCCTCATGGTCATGGTCTTTATTACAGTAGCCTGATGAAACAGATTCCATTTCCTTTAAAAAAAAAAAAAAATACAAGGAAATTTCTTGTAGATTACGTTTAGATTTTGTGGTATCAAAATATTCTCACAGCAATAAAATTTAAGAAGAAACTGTGGAAGTGCTTGGTACCAAGACTAACAATCTGAATTTGCTCCCTGAGAACCCAAAGGTCAAAGGAGAGAACAGATTTGCCACAAGATGTCTCTTGACCTACACACACAGGCACGCATGCACGCAAGTAAATTGATGTAATTTTTTTAAAATAATTTATTTAATTTTATTCTCTGTACATTGGTATGAAGGTGCCAGAATCCATGGAACTGGAGTTGCAGACAGTTGTGAGCTGCCATGTGGGTGCTGGGAATTGAACCCGGGTCCTTTGAAAGAGCAGACAGTGCTCTTAACCACAGAACCATCTCTCCAGCCCAAACTGATGTAATTTTTAAAAATAAATTTTCTCAAAGTCACAAATTTGAGGGTCAATGTATAATTGAATCAAGGTATACTTCTCTAATTAACTTCAATATAAAACCACTGCAATCCTCCATAAATCCTACCAGATGTTATGTCCTCCCATTCACAGTGGCTTTAAAATGTAAAAACATTCACATTCACAAGTCATAATCCCATCAAAATGGCATTTAGAGGATGGGTATGGTCACCATTCCCTTCATCCTAGCACTTCGGAAGAAGCAAGTGGGTCTCTGTGAGCTCAAGGCCAGCTTGGTCTACCTAGAAAGACATTGTCTCAAAACAAAAACAAAAACAAGGACCTTTAGCAATTCAACTCATAGAACTGTATGAACTTTTGTTGCATCAACTGGTGAGCAAGTATCTCTACAGTTATGAAACTAAGTTTCTTGGCCATAAAAGAAAATCAGGATAGGCTGGATGGCTTAGAAAGTAAAGGGACTGGTTGCTCTTTCAGAGGGGTGCTTTGCTCTTCTCAGCACCCACATGATGGCTTTACAAGTCTGTAACTCCAGTTTCAGAAGATCCCAAACACCCACACACATAAAGTAAAATTAGTATTTTAAAGATCACAGCAAAAGATGTTTCATTATTATTGTTATTATTATTAAAATAAAAAAAAAATAGCAGGATGGTGGTAGCACATCTTCAATTCCAGCACTTCGGTCAAGTCCTGGGCAGCCAGGGCTACACAGAGAAACCCTGTATTGAAAAACCAAAAAAATTAAAAGTATAATAAACACTAAAAAGGTTCAGAATGTCTACCTGCTATAGAACTTCCTGTATACTCTTACAATTTCACTCTTCTTTCTTATTCCATCTGTCTTTTTTTCAATGTTGTACCAATTTCATTGCCCTTCTTAAAACCTGGGCTACCAATGTTGTAATTCCCATGTATTATGTTCAAGAGTGTAATGTATTTAGGAAAGCTCAGTATTTTGAATGGACAAATGAATAATCTGCCTTCTCCCTCCCCAGTCAGGTAAAATACTTTGGTACATTAATTTCTCACTCAAAATTTCTCACGAGTGAGGTGGAATAATAAAAACTCTAGCCTTACTGGACAAAGCTGAAATTAAATGAGATGTTTTGTCGATAGAAATGTTTCTACCCTCTCTCCGTTTTTGTTTTCACAAATTTGCTCCTGCTTGAGTTCAAAGACGTTCACAGTCAGTGGCTCAGGTTCCCACTCTGCTTCACATCTATTCAACAGCTCTGGTTTTATACAGGACAATGAAGGAGGAAAAGGGAAAATTCAGACTAAAAAGGGCTGTTCAGTACTGTTTGACAGCGTTTATGTCAGGTTTTTACGCTCAGCAGTTTCTAAAGCAGCGATGGATACGTCTTATATTCAAACATGCTCGTTTCCTTTGAGGGCTATTTACCTCTGCTGAGTGTAAGTGAAGAGGCTCATCGCCCGACCTAGAGGGCCCTGACAACGGTATCTTCAAGCCTAGTGACAAAGGCGTTCTAGGTGCACACACACACTCCCCAAGGAAAGGACAAGCACTTTTTACTCTATAACACCCTGTGACAGGATTTTCCGCTGGAGAAAGAGGACATGGTTTTACAGTGTTTTATTTCAAGGAAGAGGTCCTCCGCCTGCCCAGAGGGAGCGGAACAAGATCTGGCGTCCTCCTTTCCGACTCCGCCTCAGCTAAAACAAAACGCGTCACAAGCAGGCGACACGAGAGCGCAGGGCCGGGCCGCACGCACGTCGACGGTCCCACGAGAAAGGGGTCCCTCAGGAAAGCCCGTTTCCAACCAGGAGTCATTTGCTCACCGACAAGGTCGCAGCTGGGGTTAGCGACCCCAGACCAGCGCGCATCGCGAGGCTCCTCTGCGCTCGGAAGCCTGGGACACGCTCGCGGGCCGCGCCATGGAAGCCTCGGACACACGATGAGGAGACGCTGCGAACCTCCGCGGCGCCGAATTCGAACCGCCGCGGCGGCCGTTGGGACGCGCCTCCCGGGCCATGGCCCCGCCCCCGCGCGGGGCATGCCGGGAAGTGAGGCTGGGCGTGCGGGTGGGCCGCAGGCCGAGTTCGCACCGGACTACATTTCCCGTCGTTCCGGCAGGCGCCGTTGATTGGTGCGTGTGGGGGAAGCTAGGATGCGGAACCCTGAAGCTTGCCAACAGGGGCGGCGGCCCCACCCTCAGCCGGCCCCGTGGAAAGCCGAGCGTGAGCCGCCGCCTCCCGCAGCTCCCCCAGACTCTGGGCTTCGAAGCCGAGGCGCCAGCATTCCGAACCTCCCTAAACGCTGCCAGTCGGAGACCGCCAGGGATGGGCGGCAGGGTCTGGCTGCCGCTCCCCGCGCTCCTCCTGGCCGCTCTTCCCCTAGCGCCGCTGCGGGGCGCGGCCGGCTTCACGCCCTCCTTGGACAGTGACTTCACCTTCACGCTGCCGGCCGGCCGGAAGGAGTGCTTCTACCAGCCCATGCCCCCGAAGGGCTCGCTGGAGATCGAGTACCAGGTAAGTGCTAGGCCGCCGCGGCCCGCGCCGCCCCGCCGCAGCTTCTGCGAGCCGCCACCGAGGCGGATGCGGGCGTCGCTGGAAGCGGGCCTCCCCGGCGCAAGCGCGCAGGACGCGCCCGGAACCCGCAAGTTTGGCCCGTCCTAAGACTGACACCTACCCCCCTTCTTCCCTTTCCTCCGGTAGGAGAGAGGCCAGCGCTGGTGACGTGGGTGGCGTTACGCCTTGCTTCTTAATTCACCCCCAGCTTTTCCAGCTAGCGCGCATACACTTCAGGAAGGGCGCGATACACGTTCCTTTTTATTATTGGACGAAATGATGACACTTGTTTGAATCACCCTCACCGCTTTGACCGAATTCCGACAGTATAAAGTCGTCGCGGTGTTTGCTGCAGTTAAGGAATTTTTAATGGTGACTATGTGAATATCTCTTAAGTCAGAGTTGAAAGGAGCTGTTGTCGTATTTAGGGGAACATTTCCGTCCCGGTTGTATATACACTACTTTAAAATCAAGTAAGCAATGCACCAAAATATATGTTGATGTATTTTATCTTTGAGGCTTTTTTTTTTTTTTCAAATTAAGGTTCAAATGCTATTTGGTATAGAGTAAACTTTATGTAGTGAGCTGGACTGGTAGCTCAGCAGATACCGCATGCACGTGCAGCACACACATACACTTATTAAATATTTTTTTTAATTTTATGTGGAATTTTTATATTAAGATTATTTGTAGAAGTTTGCAGTGAGTGCAGGAAGCATCCAAAATGCTATACAAAGTCTCAGTAAAAATGAGATTACAGCTTAATAATCATTTTCCACTTGGGAGCGAAAGTTTAGCATTTACTGAACAGTTAGTTTGTGCAAGGAGAAGAAACAACTAGAGAATCTCTGTTCCCAGGAGTTTAGGGTTCATAGGCAAGCTTTGTCTGGATTTGAGGCTTTTTTTTGTTGGTTGTGATTAGCTGCTTGTCTGGTTGGTCTGCTTTTGAGGCAGGGTTTCATTGAATTTTATATTTAGCCCAGGCTGGCCTCAGAACTTCGTAACAGTCCTTCTCAGTCTCCCAAGTACTGGTATTACAGCATAAACCATCACATCTGACTTAAACTGTAAGTTGAATACAGTAGCATTACATGTTGTTAGAATAGTCATTTCTTGTTTTCAGAGAATAGGCTTGTTGGAAAAAATAAAAATAAACCTGGAAATGAGATAATGAAGAAATTAGGCCAATTTCAGAAAAGGGGAACACTATTAGATGTTAATGATTTTAGGGTGTGTAGTTTGAGCATTCAGGGGTGTACTGGAGTACCGAGTTGTCGCGACCTTTGAAGACTGTAAAGGCGCAGGGTAGGAGTAAAGAAGGATGTAGACCACCTGATGAGGCAACAGACAAGGGACAATAAATGTGTTTTAGAGGATAATAGCTTTTCCCTTATTTTTTGCAAGGAGACTACTGGGTAGACTGAAAGACGGATTTAAAGGAAGCAAAAATAAATGCAAAGAAACAAGAACTGTGGGGTTAGTGAAAGAGTCTAGATGAGAAAGTAATTTTTATTAATTAAAATTTTCCTTGCAAGCAAGCATGGTGCCATATGCTGGTAACTGTAAGCACTCAGGAGGCCAGGGGAGGAGCATGACAAGTTCAAGGCCAGCCTAGCTATGTAATGAGACCCTGCCTCAAAAAGTAAGTTGCGACAGTTGGCCTCCACACACATTTTTAAAGGCAGGGCATGGGGTGCCTTCAATCCCAGCTCTGAGGCAGGGTAAGTCTAGTGTACATAACGAGACCCTGTGTCAGGTGGACAGATAGATGATAATAAATGTTTACATCATGTGGTTTATTTTATAGAACTTTCTATTTTCAGAGTTTGTAATACATATTTTTTTCTTCTGTAGGTTTTAGATGGAGGAGAACTAGATATTGATTTCCATCTTGCCTCTCCAGAGGGCAGAACCTTAGTTTTTGAGCAAAGAAAATCAGAAGGTGTACACACGTAAGTTGTTTGTCTGAGACACAGTATGTACACACACACACACACACACACACACACACACACGCATGTATGTATGTATGTATGTATGTATGTATCTCTTGCTGGCGTGGAACTTGCGACAATCCTTTTACCTTAGCCTTGTAAGTGCGGAAATTACAGATGCATACCACCATGTCTTTTGGCTGGTGAAAAGTGGAGAAAGTACCTTAGTATTTGTTACTATTTTTCAGTATTATATAACTGTATAGTTTTAACAGTCTTTGATAGTGGGCCATTTTCCTTCCACTCCACTTTCATTTTTTGTTTGATTGAAACTAGAGTCTCTGTTTCCCCGGCAGACCTCAATTTCGTGGAGTCGGGGTGCTCCTGCCTTAGCCGCCCCAGGGCTGTGATGTCTGTAGGTGACACTGTAGCTGTCCGGCACCAAGAACACCACAGCCAGCCAACTTTTTCCTTTGTTTTTTAGTTAATCTATTGTGACATATCTCCCTTCTTGGCTTAAAAAAAAATTTTTTTTGTTTTTGAGACAGGATCTCAATCATGTAACTGATTAGACTAGAACTCAGAGCTCTGAATGCTGGAATTAAAGGTGTTTACCAGGATCTCTGAGGTTTTGTTTATTCATTTTGTTTTGTTTTGTTTTCAAGAGAGGGTTTCTCTTTATAGCCTTGGCTATTCTGGATTCACTTTGTAGTCCAGGCTAGCCTTGAACTGGAGATCTGCCTGCCTGCCTGCCTCTGCCTCCCTGAGCACACCCGGCTCCTTTTTTTTTTTTTTTTTTTTTTAATTTATTTTAGGTGTATGGAGTGTTTTGCCTTCATGCATATATGTGCACCATGTGTGTTTGA